GAACAAAACACTGACATACAGTTTACCAGAGAAGTCGAAGAAAATGGCAAACTTCCTTTTCTAGACTGCCTGGTAAGCCACAACGACAACTCATTACGGACGACAGTTTACAGGAAACCGACACACACCGACAGATTACTAGACGAGTCATCCTACAACCCTACATCACACAAAGCCACAACTATCAGAACTCTAACACGACGCGCACAACTAGTATGTGACTCGACAGACAGCTTATCCGACGAGAACAAATACCTTCACCGTGTTTTTACGAAGAACAACTACAACAACGACTTCATCCGACGAAACACTCACCGACCCACTACCACTACCGAAACAAACGACACCGCAACCCCTACGACTACAGCAACCATACCGTACATAAAAGGCATGTCTGAAAACATCTCGCGCATCTTACTACCCTTCAATATCCGCGTCGCCCACAAACCCATCACCACACTACGTCAGTTACTAACCAACGTTAAAGACAAAGACGAACCGAGGAACAGACAGGGAACGATTTATAAGATCAATTGTTCCGACTGCCAAGCCTCCTACATCGGTGAGACTGGCAGAAACCTCACAACAAGACTGACTGAACACAGACGGGCGACGAGGAAAGGTGATGTCAGCAATCACATTGCTGAACACCATCGACTTACCAACCACAACATTGACTGGGACTCTGCGCAATGCCTAACCTACAGCACTGACTATTTTCAACGACTGACTCTGGAAAGCTGGTTTACTAACTTAGAACAGACTCCCCTAAACAGATGTCAACAACTACCCGCTCCATACAAACGACTCATTCACGACATAAACATCACAAACGACCGAAAAAGAACGACCTAACTTTACCGACAGATCGAAACAGACCAATCACGACCGACTTACGTCACTTGAGTCTTACAGCCAATAACATCACGGCAAAACCAACCGATCATTTCACACGAACTGGAATAAGAACATTCTACTGACAACAATCATTCACTTGACTCTGATGATGACTTTCGCACAGGTTGTCGAAACGTCAGTCACTACCACCGACAACAGTCCTTCTCAGGACTACACTCACCCGGACGATCAGACTACACCTTCACATATATGAACTTCATATATTTCATTGTATCTGATTTAACCCCATTTATGTTTTATTGAGACATCCTTGGTCAATATTTCTTCTTGTGTGCAACTGTATAAAAAATATTAGTTTTTCAGACGTAGCGTAAAAATGAATTCGAGAACTTCGTTCCTGAGCTTGGGTAAGGCGAGTTGAAGTTTGTCTTCAAAACATTACTAACAGTAACGTGTTGAAAGTGAAAGTCCCTACTCCGCAGAGAAACCCGTCAAGTAACGTTGAAACATCCGCTCCCTTTTTATTATTTTTTTTTTTCGGTGACATAGTCCATGCAATTTTCTCGTAAGAAAAACATTGACAAGGGTGTAACGGGGTAAATGTTTCAACAGCTGGGAAGATGACTTAAGATACGGAGAAGACACTACCTTCGGTTTTATACGATTTTATCCTTTTTTCAGCGATGGGAAAATCAGTGAAACATAATTAACGATATGCAAGACTTACGTTCGTTCATAAAGTCTAGCACGCGTCAACTACATTCCTCAGCGAAACGAAGAGCTTTCCAACATTCCTCAGATATTAATTGATTATAATTCCCCGACGCAATACAAGATCCTGTCCATGCCTTATTGTTTATTTTAAAAACGCTTTTCCCTTTACTCATTGCAAAAATCGTTAAAAAGTGATCAAAAATTTTTCTGTTATGAAAATTATCCGTCGTCCAAGCTTTTTTTTTAAACCAAAACAAAGGGTCGACATTCTCTTCAGTCTCGCATCCTTTAAGACTCGCTCAGTACATACCTACGGCGACGTAGGTTACCTAAATGCAAAGTACTTCTCACGTGATCGTGTCACTTGTCTGATAACGCAAATATTGCGTGGTCGATTGAGAAAAGGGCCGAGAGAACCCAGGCAAGATAAATCGTGCATGAATTGCAATTTTTTAAGCCCGAGGACTGTCGTAGTAAACCGACGTGACTCCCCGAAATTGAAGACAATTTTTGCTGGGTCCTTCGTCGTCTTCCTCTTCCCAAACAACCCTGCTCAGATATGAAATGTAGTTTTTCAGAAGCGATTGTTTCACCACTGATCAATTTGATAGAATACCATGGCAGTTTTTGTATAAGTCGGCTACTCTCTGCTTTGTTAAGGAACGCTAGTTCCCAAAATTAAATGTCTACTAAAAGAGGATACAACGAACATTTAGGATTCTCAATTTACTGAAATACGAATAAGCTACATGCTGATAATCAAAACAGATTTGAATCAAATCAAAAGTTTATTTTAGTATTTCCTGATCTACAGTCAAACTTAAAGATAAAAAATAACTTCACTTTGCTTCACTTTGCAAAAAACAAAAACATTTCCCCTAATCAAGAGCTGCAATCCGTCAAGAATAGTACCACCTTGAATGTTTTCGCTGACCTCGGGCATTCGGTCTGAATGCGAAAAGCATCTGCGCTCGATTTTGAACGTCACTGAAAATACAGCAAAGAATAAATTTCGTTGCCTACATACCTTTAAGACCTGTTGGTTGTCCCGCTTTAGATTTCCGCTGTTGTGGTGGCCTCTTTTTGATGATTATCCCGGTTATCGTCTAGTGACTTTGTTATGCTTCTTCTTCAAGAAGCAACATGAACTGAATAGCCTGTTGTAAAAGCTTTGTGATCATTTTTGATCATGACATCATTGCGCATGTGACGCATCAGGAGAGTTGATAGCGGAACACAAACGGGAGGTTAACGTTACGCTTGTGGAGATCAACTGGTTTTCGTCTGTAAAAAGCCTAGGCTAATTTCGGTGAAACAAGAAAAAAGACTGACCGACGCAGCAGTTCTAACACAATTTTCATTTGATGCGATGTCTGGATGCCTTTAACAAAGATATTTCGAGTCACCTCATTATTTCAAACGTCTATGCAGCTCATCTTTATCAAACCTCTTCTTCCCATGAATTCCCAGAAGGTAGCAGCAGGTGCAACTTTGAAAGGCAAATGAAAATGTCTGTTTTAGTAATTCCTTGGAAAATGATGTGAAATTTATTTAAGCTCAGTCTAAAAATATGAGTGATAGCATTTATTTATTTGACGTAACCTTTACATAACTATAAATGATAAATTTAATGACGTACTATGTTTTCGTCCATAAACCTACACTTAAACTGACTTACTGTATTTTTTTTTGGTCTCTATTTCAACCCCAAACTATAGTTACCCGCACGAGTCGACAGTCTAGTTTTGATTTCATTACAGATGGAGTGCATCCTCTACCATCCCGTACCAGGTACGGGATGGTAGAGGAGAACTTGGTGAGGAGTTATTGCTCGTTATTGAATGCCGATCCCTGGTTACCGCTTTCTGTGCTGCGAGAAGGTGTAATCAGATCAAACTATTTATTAACTTCGCCATAGTTAGTAACTATGACTAACTATGACTTCGCCAAAATGCAAGCAACCGCAATCCAAAAAATAAAAAGTAGCAGGGACCCTGCAACAGCGTAGCCAGTTACAGCGGGGCCAGAATATAAAGGAAAATAAGACAAGAGAAAGGGAGAAAGGAAACTATCAATCTACATGCAGCAAGTGAATAAAGGCTGATAGTTTCTAAAGAAACTGTTTGGGGCTGCGTCGTGGGGGTAACGAAATAATTTGAATGTATCAACAAAGTTGGAATGGTAAATTGGCCACCGTTACGGTTATAAAAGCTGACTTTTCGAGCGCTAGCCCTTCGTCGGAGCGAATAGAGGAATTGTGGGTTGTGTGTGCTTTTAAAGGCAGAAAATGGAGCTACGTGATTAGTGGGAACATGGCAACGAGAAAAACACGAATAGATTAGTGGAATGAAAAGCGTTCGTTGATACCTGTGGGATTTAGACTGCCGGTTTGAAAGATGAGCTTTTGTTCAAGAGTTTTGCGGCTTTCCGTGCTACCTAAGTGTAAGGAAAGACCGCAGATTGCAATATGTTGCTTAGAATGATTGGGTAAATTAAAATGTTTAGCGACTGGTTTCGATGTGTCCTCTCATTCCTCTCCACGTCGCGAAGGTGTTCTCGGAATCGGTCACATAGCTCCATTTTCTGCCTTTGAAAGCACACACAACCCACAATTCCTCTATTCGCTCCGACGAAGGGCTAACGCTCGAAACGTCAGCTTTTGTAATCGTTACGGTGGCCAATTTACCATTTCAACTTTGTTGATATATCCAAATTATTTCGTTATCCCCACCGACGCAGCCCCAAACAGTTTCTCTAGAAACTATCAGCCTTTATTCATTTATATTTTAAAAGATTTCTCCTGGTCGTAACCCTTCATGAAACCAAACAGTTCATGGTTATTTCCTCACATGGATATATACACAACGCGTTGATAACTAGATAGGTATATTCGAACATGGAATAAATAAGAATTAAAACTCCTTTAACAACATCGACTGGCAGTCAAGGATGTTTAAAAGGAAGAGAAATCTTCCCTTGAGGATAAATAATTAAATTATTTCTCTGTAGTTTTTTTTTTTCCGGCTAGCATAGTGTCAACAGATCTTAACATACGCAACTAAACACGCACTTCCGCCCACTTCCGCCTTTTGCTCGAACAGCGATTGGCATGTTTTTCTCATGTAATTTTGTAACATAGATTGTTAATAGAAATGTATACCAACCTCTGTCAACTCTCACTTAGTTCTACTCCAATAATTTCTTTTCAGCACGCGAAATGCTTGGGTATGTGACTCGTGAAAAGCTTTCACATACTTGCCAAAGTCTTTCTTCGACCCGCTTACTCAGCAAATCACTTCGCTGACCTCTTGCAACACTATTGCAGAAAATGGGAGAGGAACCTAGTGGCGAAGGAGCGCAAATTTATGATAAAAGAAATTAAAACAAGCAAGAGAAAATGCATTTTCCTTCGGAAGTTAGCGAGAGTATGCATGCCTTCATGCTAACACGTTTTGTGTTAGCACGTGGAGTCTCCTGATACTCCAGTTGAGTATATTAAGGATTGTCTTCTTTGATACATTCATCAAGTGTGACTCTAATCGGCGGTGCTTTAGTTCAAATTTTCAGCTTATTTTATTGCAACGATATGCTCTCGAGCCCAAAATCTCCACAAAGCCAGAGGTCTTTGGATACGGAGGAAGTATTCGAGCGGTTTAAATCCTACCTAGATCAAAAGGTCGAAAGCCTTGCATCAAGTTTAGTCTCCCAAACAAGTAGCGGAACTCAGAAGTTAGAAAGAGCGGCTGAAGCGGGAAAGTTGAAATTTCAAGGCAACAAGGACCAGTTCCTTTTTAATTCTGAACTGCAAGGGACTCTGGACGATAGCGCCCATTTCCTGGCTGCGCGGGACGTCGAGAAAGCCGGCGAGAAGGTGGAAGAACTGCAGAAAAGTCTACGCCATCGTCAAAATATAATCAAACTTGCTCGTAAGAGCGAGGCCGGTTGGCTGGCTGTTAAAGAATACCAAACCGAGGAGCTCGCAAACGACTCAGAGGACGAGAAGAGGATCGAAAAATCGCAAGAAAGAGCTCTAAAGCAGAAGAAACAAAATGCCTTCAAAAGAACCGAGGAAGCCAGGAATTCGTCTAACGCTCCAAGTTCTCGCTCTTGCGACGATATGAGACTTTTTCGAGGTATGCTCATTGCCCTTTCTCTGATTTTCAGCGTGGCAGGCAAGTGCTCTCACTCTGCCTGCCTTATAGTTTGTGTCTATTTGTATGCGTCAGCGTTCTGGAGAAGGAAAATATTTTTCCTGCGGACGAACGTAGTGAGGGAGTAGGAAAACAAGATTTCCTTTGATCACAGTTTGATAGAAAAATCGGGGCTTAACTTGGTGTTCACATTATAAAGACAGGGTCCACCTAACAAAGGTTTCACAATATTTACTAACCCCTTAAAGTCCTGTGGAAACTGTTAATCTATAGAACTACTCATAAAGATTCTTGAGACGAGATTGATCATTTGGCTTTATTGTAGTTATAATAAACAAATACTGCAAAGATTAGAAATGCATATGTTTATAAGGAGACTGCGCAGGCAGAAATCGTGTTCTCTTGGGGTGATTGAACCTGACAGGAGAGCGATGTATCACTACGTGAGCCAGAGAATAAGTGAACGTATCACAAATGACTCAGCCTGGGCTTATACCTGGAGCAACACAACAAAACACAACTGAAAAAACTTTTCAGTATCGACATACTCAAAAACCTACTTTTCCGTAGCGTGCCATGCACATTTGTTTCAGAACAAGTGTTTTAATCTCTATATGATACAAACAAAAGTTTTTTTAATACTAATCGACTTTTATTATCATGTACGTGTAAATTGCAACAGCAAGTAAGTAAGCTAGTTATTATCCAAAGAAGACAATTCTATTTTGCCTGTAGCATTGAAAATCAAGTATAATATGGGACACTAGAAACCAGCCACATTACTTTGCTGTCCTTGGTAAATGGTGTTAAATTGGTACAAGCTCATTGTGAATGTTGGCATTGCATTCCTGTTTAGCTTCAACCTTTCAATTGTTTGTAATTGTTCACACAAGCGCAGCTAACCAAACAGATGAATCGAAGCGAAATATCTTGGGAAACTTATGAAAATACAGCTTGATTCCCTAACAATTAGCGTTTATATCAATCGAAATGTTCATCTATGTCGCTACTTTGTTGAGTGTGCATTGCAATTGTGATAATTCAAGTTAAATTTTGCATGATTACATGATGTTGCATAATTGATGGTATTGGATTTAGATACTAGACAAAATAATATTTGTAAATCAGGTTGATCTTTCGTTCCTAAAAGTAGTNAGGTCACAAGTGTTAACAAAAGGTACTGCGCTATCCACTGGATAGAGATTTATCCAGTGCATAGCATTATCCATCCTTCAAACAACCGGGGCCTGATTCCTAACATTTTTTCTTTCCCATTTTCTTTTCTTTCTTATTACTTAAATTATACAAGATATAAAGTGAGTAAATTACTACATATCCTAAGCACAATACACATCCTTGTTGCTCAATTCGCTTCATGTCTTCAGTGTGGACATGCCATATACTCTCACATGACCCCAATTACTGTTGCTCTCATACTCGTACTGTCTAAAGTCACTATAATTATGTATGTCTTTGTAACATTAGTTAGTTAGCTTACAAACTACAGTATTAATTGACTAGAAAATTCTACCTTTGCACACATTACAGTAACGTCATATCTCCCTTACTGATCACTCAATTACTTTGTAAAAAAACTATTCCATTGCTAAGTCAAATACAGTTCCAAAATGCTCAGTTGCATTTGACATTTTTTGGTCTTGTACATGTATTGTAGATGAATAGCCCTTGTAAGACCCCACCAATCCTTGTGTTTCTTGCTGTGTATGAAAACGGTGTGAAAAACTACTGCTATCAGTTAGGCGTAAACCTAACACTTGCAACATTCAGTATCATTATAAACAGTACATAGAAGGTTTGTTATGTTTGATTACCACAGAAAAGACTTAAAAATCATTGGCTGGCTGATTTCAAAATAGACTCAGTTACGTATCCATGTAGCAGATGTTCATCTACTTGGTTTTTTTTTTTCTTCTTGAGATCGTTTTTATGTCAAAGGATGGATTTTTCTCATTACGAACGGATCTATATGTATTTGATGAGAAGGGATTCACAAAAGGTTTAAAAAGATAAATCTGCGAGGAAACAACTAGAGCTTCCTTTTCTTTTCTTTCCTGTTGCTACCAATTCATGTAAATAATCTACCAAATAGACACCTTATCCCTAAGGGCTTCCAGAATAATTATTCGAGGTGCTGTCGATAAATTTAATCACCAGTCTTCGTGTAGTTAAAAAAACCACGGTGTCCATCGTATAAAAGTCAATACACTAGTTTAAACAACAAAATGAGTTCGAGAAAACTTTAACGAACTTGAACAAACTATCTGTATCTGGTAACAAATATTATATAAGGTTTAAACCGGGGCAAAGTCCATAAAAACCACATCTCTATTTCTGCATGTTCACGTCATGGCCTACTAATTATGGGCATATCGAATTTCGATCGAAGTCAAAGAAACAGTCGAACTAGAATGCTAAATGTTCTTCGATGTCTCACTTCTTCTTCTTGCTCTAATAAGCCATAAAACTTGATGTCAAATAGAAATAAAAGAGAAACGAACTCACTTTTAGAATTCTAGCGTCTTGAAAGCCGCCATTCTGGTCACGGTCTACCTGAATTTGCTGAACATCGATGCTAACAGTCTCACTGTTAGCTCTCTCCGTCTCTGTTACATTAACTTGAGTACTCTGATCTTTTGTGGTCTCCTTGAGGCTCAATTTAGAGCCGTATACTATGGAGAGTAGAAAAAAGGCAACGATTCCCGACTTCATGATTCGAAACATCGACCAGCTTGTGTATTAGAAAAACAGAGATGACTATAATTAAACTTCCCGGATGTCAAGGCGTAGCACATGCTTGGTAGCCACGCAGCTGTTTGGGAAGTAGCAGAGACGGAAACAGGCTGTAGCAAATAAAAGGTTGTTGATCACATTCTACGGGAAAAAACGTTTTTTCTTTTTTACATATTTCGCGGGGAAAAAAAATCTTTCCCATTTTTCGAGTATTTATGTATATTGGGATCATACATAACAAACTACGCATTGCAAATCAAAGAAAAGATTCTAATGAAAAATCAATTTAGACGGCTCAAAAGCTGCTGCAGTCCAGCAGTGGATCATGTTTCAAATGTTACCACAGGGGGCCCATGTAGTCTGTTTGTGTAGCCGACTGTTGTTTTATAGTGAATGTACCAGATTTACCGTTTGCCTCGCCTATAGTGATATATTGCTGACTATGTACATAAATCATTGATAAATAAACGTTAAATTACTTTAACGTTTATTTACTTTAAGTGTGGTGTATAGTCGTCCTTTTGCCTCAAAAATGTTTTTTTGAGCGATTTTGAATAAGTCTGAGTTCGTCGTTAATGTAATGCATAAAAGAAAGACAGGGTGACCCTAAAATTTGGAACGATGGAATGATGGAATGCCGGAATGACGGAATGACGGAATGACGGAATGACGGAATGACGGAATGACGNTAACGACGAACTCAGACTTATTCAAAATCGCTCAAAAAAACATTTTTGAGGCAAAAGGACGACTATACACCACACACTATAGGCGAGGCAAACGGTAAATCTGGTACATTCACTATAAAACAACAGTCGGCTACACAAACAGATTGTATGGGCCCCCTGTGATATTACGAGGCTTTCCTGTTTTAGCTCAGAGAAGGCAGTTTCTATGACTTACTTATCCTGAATTTTCTCTTCCCCGACCGAGTCGGCTTTCAAGTCAAGGCCGAACTAGAGTTTGCATTGTATTTCGCTCTCGCGAGGGATAGACGCTCGAAACGAAATACCCAAAATAAGAAACAAAACACGACAAACGAAAACAAAACACAGTCTAGCTCAGACCACAGTGTTCCGTGATATTTTTGTCTTTCATCAAGTCCAACAGATGAAATATGTTATAAAGCAAGTCCTTTACGACGCATAATTTTATCACAAAAAGTTCAACAGCTTTAAGAAAGAAGAAAGGCTGATAAATTGGCCACCGTAACGATTACAAAAGCTGACGTTTCGACCGTTAGCCCTTAAGAAAGAAGAGACTGGCACTTGGAATAAATGACGTTAGCGAGTAAACAAACAGCAAATAAACAGGAAACTTCTATTTTCTCACATGACGAACATGACGTACAATGATACGCGTTTGATTCCGTAAATCTCATTTCCAGTCTTCAAATTTAGATCACGGTTATTCTGATGAAAATGGCCGCTCGCGCATTACGCAAGATTTGTTCTCTAACAACTCTTTTACCTATGAAACATTCTTTGATTTTAGCTCCAAGAACTACATCTTTATTTGCAAACAAAAATGTCCGTGTGCGAATGGCTGGTACATCCACGTCAAAAGCGAAGGAGAAAAAAGATATGTAAGTTAAAGTTTATAACTCTCGATTATCTTTTAAATTATGTTCATTGTTTGAACCACAAAGGAGCTAAACAAATGCATATTTACCTCACTTTTTACGATCATTTGCCAGTATACAGACTTTCCGAAATTGAATACAGCATTTATTAAGGTTTTTAAGCTAATTCCGCTTAAAATCCAATGAGTTAACTAAGTTGTTTAACGTAAAATATATTAGTGACATCTGAAGTCAGGATTCATCCATTACTAAAGTATTTCGCAGTTCAGCCCCTTTGAGAATAAAAAAATTTGGCAGATTAAGAATCTAATCTTCCCCGTGATTCTAATATCTTCAAATCTGAAATGAAACGACAAACAAAGTAAACTTTTTGGGGGAAAAAATACTTATCCTCGATTAAAACCATGTTTGCGATTTCACGAGTCTCAGTTTGTATAAGTTACATAATTATCTAATAACCATGATTTAAATGTAATAATATAATCATAATAATTATTATAAAAGATACCTGGGCCAAAACATACCTTCTGAGTTAAGACAGGAAAAAGCTGCCAAGTGTCAAAGTAACATTCATGAGTGTTTTTGTGTTGTGTCTGCCTCAGTTCTCATAACATCCACTTGCAGGATTGTATGGCAGATACTCTTTGCATTAGCAAGTTTTTCCATTTAAATAATGCAATGTATCATGTCCTGTTAGCATACACCGAATCGAAATATGGCGTCCAATTTGAATTGCCATTGTTCTGGACTGAGTTAAGCCTCTCACACATGTGATAATCCTTTTGTGTTTACACGTCAAGACGAGGCTAGTAAGTCCAAAACAATGGTAATTCAAATCGGACACCATATTTCAATTCAGTGAATGCTGAATGTAAAAACAAGCAGACAGTATTTATGGAAATTTTGGGAATTCAATCTATCTTAAGAACTCCTTGGTTTGATTCCCTGAAAGGTTTGAAAAAAATGATGGTAAAATTATTCTAACCCATTGACTGCTAAGAGCAACCAGCATCTAATTTCTCCTTACAATACCAACCCTTAATCAATCATTAAGGTCACAGGAATTGAGGAAATGATCACTAGCTAAAGCAGCTCTTATTAAACCAAACTCTGCTCATCAGTACCTCAGGAAATGTACAAGTATGTGCTCAAATTCGTGCTCCAGGGTTAAAAGTGATGACGTCACAAGGCGTAGAAAGGGTGTGGGTCCCCATGGGCGCATACGGACGCACTGAACATCAATAGGTTAATACATGTACATGTGCCATGATATCCAATAAAGGCTAATCGATTTCCCATGAACTGTACCTCAGAATGTTTGACAAGCACTTTCCTTTTCCTGTGAAAGTACTACTTTTTGTTTAAAAAGGATTCATCACCTTTCCACTTGTCATTTAACCGTCTCACAATCTCACATTGCCCAAATGGAATATCTTGACTGGCCAAAGGGCTTTTGGCTATTGTGTGGCAAAGAGCCTTAACCTTTTTAAAAGAAAATTTTTACAAATATTTTAAATTCACAGACCATAAGAAGTTATTTTATTATTGAAATGTAAGCAGTTTTTATAATCTATATTTTTATCTGTAGATAGTTTTATCTTAATTTTTTTTTGTAACTTAGTATTTTGATATTCATTTATGGCAGAAGAACTCCTAAGGGGTAGCTATGTATATATGTATGTATATATGTACTGGGTAGGTTAAACACTGTCCAATGGATAAGAGTTAACAAAAATTAATGTACTATGCTATCCACTGAACAAGGATTTATTCATTGGATAGTGTTATCCATTCTTGGAACAACTACTGGGTCAGTATGCATATTCCCCATGCTGTTTTATACATTTCCTACATCATGGTGCTGATAAAAGGAAGGGTATGGTTGTTGATCATCTCCTTTATTTTCTTAACCTCAAAGTTTGATTTGGGGGTGATATTGTAAGGAGAAATTATATACTACATGTAAGGAGTTAAAGGGTGAATGTTTGCTGAATACTGAGTGTTTGTTGATCATAAGAACCAAAATTAGTCAGAAGCCCTGGTTGAGGGCATTTTATCTGGCCATTTCTTTTTAAGCTCCAGCTTCTTAAAATAGACAAAGCAGTGAACTATTTGTCTTCATTTGAAATAATTTTTTATATTAGTTTAAATTTGATTTTTTTGTATGGAGAACACTTGATGACCATGCAGTGATTTGATTATAGGTGCTTGTGAAGGGACCCTGTCATGTTCTACTTGTCATTTGATCTTTGAACCTGAAGAAATGAAAACATTGAACTTGGATGAACCATCAGATGAGGAACTTGACATGCTGGACTTGGCATATGGACTGGAAGACACGTAAGTTCACTGTACCCCAGCCATATTTTAACTTAATTCAACTCCTTACAACTTGAACCTTCAAGGTTAACTGTATAAGGTTTGAGTTACCTGGAGTTGTAAACATGAGACTGATTATAAGGGAAAATATGAAGGTCAGTATGTTTCTTCATTTAGAAAATGTGCTGAAGGGAACTGAAACTGGTTTGAGCTAGCAAAAGGTGTGGGTTGTAGAAGGTTGGCATTACCCAAGGAAAAATTTGCAGTGGATGTTTGAAAGAATTGACAAACCAGGGGAATGGATTTGTTCTGAGTCAGTTGAAGGTTTGTTTTAACTAGGGTTTGAGGTGCCATGATTCATTGTAGCTTAAAGGTTAACAGTTCTCTTGTCGATTAACTTAGACAGTCATGACAAGACAATTTACAACTGCTGTAGGAAATTTTGAGGCTTTTGCAACTTGAATGCAAAGTAATCTAGGTACTGCTGACTCTAACCACATTTCATTTCCCCTCAGCATAATTTCTGTACACATTTGTTTTGCAAATTACTTAATATCTTGCTTTTTATGGCTGCTGCCCCCTCTAGAGGCAAAGCTTATAATAATATTGTCCCATTGAGTGAGTGAGTGAGTGAGTGTAACAATAGAATACGAATGACCTCTTAGCCCACAACAAAGTCTACAGAGTTTTTCCTGATATTCCTTTTTCTTAGCTTTTGTTTGTTTTGGAACATCTTTGATCATTCGACGCTTGGTGAGGATTTCTTTGGATCACTTTGAATGTTATTTGGGATTAGCATGTGATCACTCTGATTCTTGGTGCTGCTTTTTTTTTGTTTTGGTGTGTTACAGGAGATAAGCATCTTACAATCATTTCAGGATGGCGTGTGAAAAAACAAAACTTTACCTTGTAGAAATGTCTTAAAAGGTGTAACTGGTACTTAATGAAGTAACAGTTACACCTTTGAAGAGAGAGCATATTACTATTTGAACCAGAAGATTAGAAGATATAATTTTTCCAGTTCATGTTGTAAAAGATTTAATAAACATCTCAAAATAATTTCAAAATGGCATCTCCAGCATGCTATTGAAAAAAGACTTTTCCTTGCAAAAATATCCAAATAGGTTTGATCTGCATAATTGTGGAAACTTTGAAGAAAAATTTTATTTTTTCGAAAAGGGAGCATTTTACCCTTTGAATCAGTGACTTTAAAGCTCAAAAGAGCTACTTAATTTGCAATGAAGATTTGAAATATGATACATTGAGTTTAACAGGGTGATCCTATCTGATGGAGTGATAGGAAGGTGGAATGGCAGAATATCCTACAAAGTGGAATGCCTTAATTGTTATGTGAAACAAAAGTCTCACAAGAAAGAAAATTGTTACGAAATAAGCAAATGATTTGTAATTAACAGGCAAAATTAGAATTAAAATTAAGATTAAAAGAAGCATAGTTAAAGCTTTATTGGTGGCCATTTGAAGGATACACCAATAGAGGATCAGTGAGGTTCTTGAGCTAGCCCCGATAAGTTGTCATTACTATTGCTATTGGTGATATTATGATGCAATAGAGGATCAGTGAGGTTCTTGAGCTAGCCCCTATAAGTTGTCATTACTATTGCTATTGGTGATATTATGATGCAATAGAGGATCAGTGAGGTTCTTGAGCTAGCCCCTATAAGTTGTCATTACTATTGCTATTGGTGATATTATGATGCAATAGAGGATCAGTGAGGTTCTTGAGCTAGCCCCTATAAGTTGTCATTACTATTGCTATTGGTGATATTATGATGCAATAGAGGATCAGTGAGGTTCTTGAGCTAGCCCC